TTTTCAGAACATCAGCAGGATTGTCTACACTTGCAGAACATCAGCAGGATGTGTCTACACTTGCAGAACATCAACAAGATGTCTCTACACTTGCATAACATCAGTAGGATGTATCTACACTTGCAGAACATCAGAGGGATGTGTCTACACTTGCAGAACATCAGCAGGATGTGTTTACACTTGCAGAACATCAGTAGGATGTGTCTACACTTGCAGAACATCAGCAGGATGTGTTTACACTTGCAGAACATCAGCAGGATGTGTCTACAATTGCAGAACATCTGCAGGACGTCTCTACACTTGCAGAACATCAGTAGGATGTGTCTACACTTGCAGAACATAAGAAGAATGTGTCTACACTGCAGAACATCAGAGGGATGTGTCTACACTTGCAGAACATCAGCAGGATGTGTTTACACTTGCAGAACATCAGCAGGATGTGTCTACAATTGCAGAACATCTGCAGGATGTGTCTACAATTGCAGAACATCTGCAGGATGTCTCTACACTTGCAGAACATCAGTAGGATGTGTCTACACTTGCAGAACATAAGAAGGATGTGTCTACACTGCAGAACATTAGAGGGATGTGTCTACACTTGCAGAACATCAGTACCATGTGTCTACAATTGCAGAACATCAACAGGATGTGTTTACACTTGGAGAACATCAACAAGATGTGTCTACACTTGCAGAACATCAGAGGGATGTGTCTACACTTGCAGAACATCACCAGGACGTGTTTACAATTGCAGAACATCAACAGGATGTGTTTACATTTGGAGAACATCAACAAGATGTGTCTACACTTGAAGAACATCAGCAGGATGTGTCTACAATTGCAGAACATCTGCAGGAAGTGTCTACGTTGTCAGAACACCAGAAGAATGTGTCTACACTTGCAGAACATCAACAAGATGTCTCTACACTTGCATAACATCAGTAGGATGTATCTACACTTGCAGAACATCAGAGGGATGTGTCTACACTTGCAGAACATCAGCAGGATGTGTTTACACTTGCAGAACAGCAGGATGTGTCTACAATTGTAGAACATCAACAAGATGTCTCTACACTTGCATAACATCAGTAGGATGTATCTACACTTGCAGAACATCAGAGGGATGTGTCTACACTTGCAGAACATAAGAAGGATGTGTCTACACTTGCAGAACATAAGAAGGATGTGTCTATACTGCAGAACATTAGAGGGATGTGTCTACACTTGCAGAACATCAGTACCATGTGTTTACAATTGCAGAACATCAACAGGATGTGTTTACACTTGCAGAACATCAACAAGATGTGTCTACACTTGCAGAACATCAGAGGGATGTGTCTACACTTGCAGAACATCAGCAAGATGTGTCTACAATTGCAGAACATCTGCAGGATGTCTCTACACTTGCAGAACATCAGTAGGATGTGTCTACACTTGCAGAACATCAGCAGGATGTGTTTACACTTGCAGAACATCAGCACCATGTGTCTACAATTGCAGAACATCTGCAGGATGTGTCTACGTTGTCAGAACATCTGCAGGAAGTGTCTACGCTGTCAGAACATCAGAGGGATGTGTCTACACTTGCAGAACATCACACTTGCACATCAGATGTCTCTACACTTGCAGAACATCAGCAGGATGTGTCTACACTTGCAGAACATAAGAAGGATGTGTCTACACTTGCAGAACATCAACAGGATGTGTCTACACTTGCAGAACATCAACAGGATGTGTCTACACTTGCAGAACATCGACAAGATGTCTCTACACTTGCATAACATCAGTAGGATGTGTCTACACTTGCAGAACATCAGCAGGATGTGTTTACACTTGCAGAACATCAGTAGGATGTGTCTACACTTGCAGAACATCAGCAGGATGTGTCTACAATTGCAGAACATCTGCAGGAAGTGTCTACGTTGTCAGAACATCTGCAGGATGTGTTTACACTTGCAGAACATCAGCAGGATGTGTCTACACTTGCAGAACATCAGAGGGATGTGTCTACACTTGCAGAACATCACCAGGATGTGTTTACACTTGCAGAACATCAGTAGGATGTGTCTACACTTGGAGAACATCAACAAGATGTGTCTACAATTGCAGAACATCTGCAGGAAGTGTCTACGCTGTCAGAACACCAGAAGAATGTGTCTACACTCCAGAACATCAGCAGGATGTGTTTACACTTGCTGAACATCAGTAGGATGTGTTTACACTTGCAGAACATCAGTAGGATGTGTCTACACTTGCAGAACATCAGCAGGATGTGTTTACACTTGCAGAACATCAGCAAGATGTGTCTACAATTGCAGAACATAAGAAGGATGTGTCTACACTTGCAGAACATAAGAAGGATGTGTCTATACTGCAGAACATCAGAGGGATGTGTCTACACTTGCAGAACATCAGAGGGATGTGTCTACACTTGCAGAACATCAGAGGGATGTGTCTACAATTGCAGAACATCTGCAGGAAGTGTCTACGTTGTCAGAACACCAGAAGAATGTGTCTACACTCCAGAACATCAGCAGGATGTGTTTACACTTGCTGAACATCAACAGGAAGTGACTACACTTGCAGAACATCAGCAGGATGTCTCTACACTTGCATAACATCTTTAGGATGTGTCTACACTTGCAGAAAATCAGAGGGATGTGTCTACACTTGCAGAACATCAGCAGGATGTGTTTACACTTGCAGAACATCTGCAGGAAGTGTCTACGTTGTCAGAACACCAGAAGAATGTGTCTACACTGCAGAACATCAGCAGGATGTGTCTACACTTACAGAACATAAGAAGGATGTGTCTACACTTGCAGAACATAAGAAGGATGTGTCTACACTTGCAGAACATCAGTAGGATGTGTCTACACTTACAGAACATAAGAAGGATGTGTCTACACTTGCAGAACATAAGAAGGATGTGTCTACACTGCAGAATATTAGAGGGATGTGTCTACACTCTCAGAACATCACCAGGATGTGTTTACACTTGCAGAACATCAGTAGGATGTGTCTACACTTGCAGAACATCAGTAGGATGTGTCTACACTTGCAGAACATCAGCAGGATGTGTCTACAATTGCAGAACATCTGCAGGAAGTGTCTACGTTGTCATAACATCAGTAGGATGTGTCTACACTTGCAGAACATCAGCAGGATGTGTCTACACTTATGGAACAGAAAGTTTACTGTGTTACAGTGGTATATTTTGTCATTTTTTTTTTCATTGACTTTTAGTTCAATATTTCCTGTGATATTCTGCACAAATTTGAACAAATGAGCACAAAATATTGCAGCAGTAGTAATCATATCTACCCATTCTAGTGATTTATTTTAATCACTAACTTTTTATGTTTCCCGTCATATTGCTTTTTCTCATTTTTCTTTTCTTGTAATTATATGTTTATCATTATCTCTCACTTTTCACACTTTTCAGGAACAGCGCTTGCAAGTCTCTGTAGATTGATGTATACACAGCTGATGCTTCACATTCTATTTAATATAACTGTAGGTACATCCATGTGATTCTATCACCATGTTCTCCATTTACTGAAAACTAACACCTGTAAATTGATATTCACTTGGTCACAGTAACAAATATGTATTGTTTTATGTAAAACAAAACCAAAAAATTGAAAACATATCAATCTTTATTTTGACAAATGAATTTGTCCCAATAAAGTACAACATAATCACATCTATACACTGTTATCCACTTAGCCTTCTAGAAGAAAGATTGCTGTGTTAACATCTTTACAGACAGCACTATTTCGCCATACACTCTTCCTATCATACAAGTGTTCATACACCAGTCATACTTTAACCTTCATCATACATTTGTTAACCTTTCCTCCACTCTCCTTTACTTTGTTAGATTCATTCTTTCCAGCTATCAACCATCTTGATATTCTTCCATACAACAGAAGTTCTCATTCATTAAGATACTTCCACACCTAACCATACATCATGTTCCTTATATTCATGAGAGTACTTGCTGATTTGAAGCCAACATGTCAGATTTACATGTGTACATAGTATAAAACGTTGAATCTTTAGTTAATAATATTCAACTTTAATCTTCATTGCTTGCAGGTTGCATTTAAATGTATATTTACAGCCTTTTTGAAATTCTAATGGCTTTCATTTTTTTTCATTGAAAAATAAGAAACTTTACGCAAAATCTTGAAGAACTTACAGTTTTACAAAGAAAATTGTGATTTTTTCAAAAGAATTTGTAAAATTAAAATCTACTGAAGATTTTTACCCTGATAGTGTTCTATTGATTTAATAAACATTGGAAAAATGCCAAAATTTGCAAATTATTGACCTTATCAATGTGTTAATTTACACAACTTACACAGAAACCTGCTAAATGATAATATTTTTAAAAAGATCGTTCTAAACAATAATGTACTATGGGATCTTAAAATTGAAGAATAGAAAAACAGAAACTTGAAAAAAAATATTATTGCAGGAATGATCCTACAGCCTGTATAAAATCATAAATTAACAAGGATAGGATGTTTCAACCTGATAGGTTCACTAATGAGTATAAAACCGGGGTCAAGGAAAAGTCGCAGTCTCCTCTTGATGATAAGGACTCACATTGTCCCCAAATTGTTCATCATAATCAACAACAGCATCAACTTCATAAGCATACTGTTATCATTATTCCAAGTAAAATGTTACTCATGTGATTACTTTAAAAAGAAAAAATAATCATTGATTTCTTTATCACAATAATAAGTTTATGCATAACAAACCCTGAAATAATTAAAAACTTGCAAAGACAAGTATTATACATGTATTTTAAACAAAACCCTTTTTACAAACTAATTTTTTTATTGACGATAAATATGGTCTTATCACAGTTCTTATTTATATATATAAGTTATTGTAGACACTAATGATGATCCTGTACAAACCACATATTAAATCTGTAAAAAACTGAAGAATGTATGATCTCTGTATTACTATGGTATCATGATAAGTTATATAAAGGACTATTTACAAGGCATTAAATTTTAAGTTATTTACAAAGAATATCATTTGTCATTTTAAAACTGCAATTAAAAATGCACACAAAAAACTAAAACATTTGCATAAACCCATTAGAGCTACGGATTGGTCTATGAATTAAACATTGATTTGAATAAATGCTTGCATCTAAAATTTAGAATATTGAATACCATGCATTGAATTTTGTACCTTAATATGTAGGTAACTTTTTTTTTCAATATAAGTAATACTATATCATATGGACATGGAGGCAGAACCATGCCTGCCTCTATCAACCTCATTAACAAAAAGGTGTGTTACAGTAATACCATGAAACTGGTGATCTTGCTAGCTTTATATATTAAACTGGTTCCTAAGATAGACATATATATACAATGACTTATAGAATTTTTTCCACATTGTTTACATAAAAATCAATAATTACACTATATCATACATATAACACCATGTTTTCCAAATGTGCAAAAAATCATTTCCTTTCGTACCATATGAACAATGAAATTCTAAGGTGAATGTGATACATTAGCCTAAATCAACATGTTTGAATCTTCCGGCTTAAAATAAATTTGACACATAGCCTTTAGTAAAACATGTGTCTCCTGTGGTATTAAATACATGTAAATCAGAAACAACACAAGGTTAAAGTTACAATAATGTTCTTTAGGTTCAGGAAATTCCTTCCTTCCATTTTACATATAACCACTTGCAAAATAACGGATTTTCTTTACATGTGCAAAACAACTAGGGCAAGTGTTTTATCTCTGTATGTTGTAGCATCACCAGGAAGGCAAATCCTGACTTGAGCAAAATGTAGTGTTGACTTACGATGGTCATCATGGTAATAAATATTTCTAAAATTGATCTCAAGGCCACCATAACTATTCATAGTAACATATATACGTAAGTAAATGTTTTATTTACACCTGACGCACGTGTATGTCAATCAAAGACAAATCAGAGGTGTTGAAAAGGTAGTGATGTCACATCTAACCTGGAGCAGTGACGGCTAAATACGTCACACATGTGTGTTTGTGTTGGGGTTGTCACAGGTACTGAAATGACAAGTTAGTACTCTACGTAAGCTGTCATATTTCTACAACAAGTGATAAATTATAGTATGAGAAATATTTGTTGAGAACTCAGTATAAGACTGTTAAGTAAATGAAGTTAAAAAAGAATGCAAAATATAAATTGTAATGTTGATTACTGAAGGCTAATTCAACGAAATAAACTTGAAATATTGAAGTCCAGTAACAAACTATAAACATGACATTTAAGCAATGGCTGAATGGTAATGCTAACTAGAGAACGGTGAAACATCAAAGATAATTTGTTACTGAATATATGGTCAGAATTTAGCTCTAAACTTATATACATCACCCAAATATAAACATATAAAACAACAAAACATGAAAAATTAACACATACAAAATTTTCAAACTGAAAACAAAAAAATGTAAGTTGCCATTAATTGAAGGAATACAATTTGTTGTCACATGTTGTCATATGTTGTCATCTTGGGGTCCAAATTACATCTCCTGTCATTGAACAAAGTAGATTAATCACCAACTTGAAGTTAAAATGTCAAACCCTTTAAAGACAACAGTGAAATCATGTCTTCTAATGTCAATGAATAAAATCTCTTTGTGGTGTTTTTTTATATAGAGCATGTTATATTTGCATCTATTGCTCATGATGGTATATCTGTTAATTTGTTGATGGTATATCTGTTAATTTGTTGATGGTATATCTGTTGATGGTATATATGTTAATTTGTTGATGGTATATCTGTTAATTTGTTGATGGTATATCTGTTCATTTGTTGATGGTATATCTGTTCATTTGTTGATGGTATATCTGTTAATTTGTTGATGGTATATCTGTTGATGGTATATCTGTTAATTTGTTGATGGTATATCTGTTGATGGTATATATGTTAATTTGTTGATGGTATATCTGTTGATGGTATATCAGTTCATTTGTTGATGGTATATCTGTTAATTTGTTGATGGTATATCTGTTAATTTGTTGATGGTATATCTGTTAATTTGTTGATGGTATATCTGTTCATTTGTTGATGGTATTTTGTTGATGGTATATCTGTTCATTTGTTGATGGTATTTTGTTGATGGTATATCTGTTAATTTGTTGATGGTATATCTGTTCATTTGTTGATGGTATATCTGTTAATTTGTTGATGGTATATCTGTTCATTTGTTGATGGTATATCTGTTCATTTGTTGATGGTATATCTGTTCATTTGTTGATGGTATATCTGTTAATTTGTTGATGGTATATCTGTTAATTTGTTGATGGTATATCTGTTAATTTGTTGATGGTATATCTGTTAATTTGTTGATGCAATGTTTTTGTTAATTGTGCTTTCAAATGTTTTCTAAAAATCTCTTTATCTAATCTAAGTATGAAAACGAGGCCGAGGAGGATGGCGGTCGCCTTGAATTCGCTCCGGCAATCTTTTGTATTCTCACCTACATTTATACGGTCTTCCTGGAGATACAAGGTATATACATATATACGGTTGATAAAGTGTTGAATTTGACTCATTGTGTCATTTTGGAAAAACTTCTGATCTGCTATTGAGTGTTTTTTGGTGTGACTATATGACTTCATACACTCTATATTTAGCCTCGCTATATAGGTAGTTTTGTATATACACACCATATTACAGTAGAGTGGGTACGCTGGAATTTTCGTCACGGTCTGATGATCCGCTATTATTAAGCTGTGTTGCCCATTGTGCTCACGGAGGCGAAACTGCGTCTCCCTTTATTGGTCGCAATAACTTTATATTTTCACGTACGTGTTTGTAGTTTCAAGCATTATTACCAGTTCCGATCATGGCGTCAATCAGTGAGTCCTCTCAAGACCCGTCTCCTGCTGCGAAATCGTTTGACGATTCTTTATTCAAGCTTCCCAAAAATGAGTACATTGCCAAACTCTGTGAACTTTCATCAAATGCTGAAAGTAAAATTGCCTGGTACCGGGCCATTCTTTTCGACCGCGCTAAGGGTATTGACGGTTGCCCGACCTCTACTCTCGTTACTCGTAAGAATACCCTCAAGTGTCAAGCCTACTTGAAATATGCAAAAGACTGTTTCGCTTTACAACAGTTCTTGGATGGCGAATCCGTTTGTGAGATAGTAGATCTTTTCTCCTCTCAAAAACTTCCAAGGATGAATAGTCAGCTAGAAACTTCGGTTTTGGACTGTTCGAGCAACGTTATAGAGCAGCCTGCCCCTATCTCGCGCTCCGAGTTTGAATCACTTAAGCTTGAGGTGGCAAATTTGCACGCTTTGCTTCACGAATCCAGGGAGACTTCCAAAGTCCGTATTGACTCGGCGTTGGAGCTTCAAAAGAAACTGGACCAAGAAATGTCATCCCTTAAATCACAGTTAAATAAAGCTTGTGTGTCTATTAATAAAGTGTTTGACATTGACATTAAGCAAAGTTCTCCCCAGTCGTATTTTGCTGATAATATCCACTTGATAGCTTCCAAATTACTTTCTCTGGAAAAATTTAGGAAGTCGACTGCTTCTGAGATCGGCAACATTTCGAAGTTAATCAACGATAACAGCAGCGGTATCTCGCGCCTGAACGACGTCCGCTTTGGCAATTCGTCGGCTGTTCACAAAGACATTCGAGATATGAACGATCAGATCGCTACCTTCGCTAAGGACGTCCAGACTGCCTTAACCAATGCCTCCTCGGCTTCTAGTGGTGTTTCGTCTCTTAAATCTCGCATCCGGCAAATGGACTCAGAGATGAAAAATATTGCAGGAAAAGCAAAACACACAACTGACATTGCTGTGAAAGCTTTCGCCGAGGAACTTAGTGCTCAGTTAACCAAGTTTGAGGAATTTGTCCACGATGGCTTAAAGCCGCTCCCGACTGAGAAAGGCATTTCGCCTCCTAACATTCCTCATACAGCCCCACATGCAGCTCGTCTTGATCCTTCTCAGGCTTTTCACCGTCATGATGTCCAAACCTCCTCTGTACAGGATGAAGGAAGGACCGTTTCATGTGATGAGACCACTTCTCAAGGTTATGCTCTGTCATCGCCTAATGATGGTTCGTCTTCTCATACAAACCCATCTTGTGGCCAGCTGTCATCTCAGTTAATACAGTCGCCTCCCAGCTCACTTAGTCCAGATGGTCTCCAAAGAGCGAGAACTCCTCCGCCGGCAAATTCTCATGGATCATCTTGTGGTTTTGTGGCGGTTTCCAGACACAAAACTACACGTTTATTTCTTACCGGTATGTCAGCGGAATCTTGTTCTGTTGACGATATAAGAAGTTACCTACATGACCGTGGGGTCAATACCACTTTTGTTCGCCTTCTTAGAAGTAAGCGAAAGTTCTGTGTCTCTGCTAGGGTGAACGTTATTTCTTCTGATTTCCCCAAAACGAAGGAAGACAACTTCTGGCCCAAAGGTATCAGGTGTCGGAAATGGGTTTCCAATAACCGGTTCTACGGAAACGAGGCTGAAAACGCGCCCACACCTGATGGCGGGTTCGACTAGATCGGTTTACATTCTCAGTTTATCCATCTTTGCCCTGGTTATGTCAAACATTCGCTTGATGTCGTGGAACGTTACTGGCATAATGTCAGCTGCCTCTCATCTTCATGACGCGCTGACGACGGAACGCGTGGACATATGTGGAATATCTGAACACTGGCTTTATGAAGAGAACCTACATTTATTCGGTAGTATTCATCATAACTACCATTATTTCGCCATTTCAGACTTTTCACTGCATCCGCTAGCTGACCATCGTTCTCGTAAAGGAGGCGTCGCGTTGATGTGGCACAGTAAATTTAACGATCGTGTGTCAGTTGTGGACTCCGATGATGACAGGATTGTCATTATCAAACTCGTCCTTGACTTCGAAACTATTCATATCCTGCAAGTTTATTTTCCGACATCCCGATACGGCATGGACATGTACATCGAATATGTTCAAAAGCTAGATGAGCTCTGCTCGACTTTTTCCTTGTATGGCCCTGTAATTATCATGGGGGATTTTAATGCCCGTTTACAAGGCTCACGTGTTCCCGGATACGAAGATCAACGTGGAAGAATTCTTCAAAATTGTCTAGACCGTTTACAGTTGTTTGCGCTGTCAACTTCCAACCTCTGTAAAGGTCCTTTACATTCATATGTTCACTCAATTGACGGTCCTACCTCCCTTATTGACCACATTATAATTAACACTAACTTGTTAGATCTTGTGAGTGAATGCTCTATTTTAGAACGTGGTTACCTTGACGTGTCGAACCACAGACCGATGATTTGTGAATTGGTATTTCCTAAGTTGGCTTCAGACGAAAATTCTTGTGAAAAACACTATCGTTTGTCTTTCAAATGGATCACCACAGGAGTCGCAAGGAATGTTGATGACTACCGTCAAGATCTTGTCTCACGTATCAATCTTTCATCCCTCCACACTGTACAGGAATTTAATTCCAAGGAAGCGGTTGACGATTACTCACGCGAGCTTCTGTCGTGTTTGCTAAAAGCATCAGAGCATACTTTGCCAAAACGTAAATTTTGTAAATTCTTGAAACCTTATTGGAACGATAAGCTCAGAGATCTTCATCGTAACATGTGGAAGTGTCGTCAAGTGTGGGTCAGTCAAGGTCGACCCCGTAATTCCTTATCCTACCGTAATTATAAGGAAGCCAAACGTGTTTTCAGAAACAGACACAGACAGGTGTCCGAGGAACACATTGTTAATTTAAATACTGAAATTGAAAACTATGCTGATCTGAATCAGAAGTCTTTTTGGTCGATGGTAAGAAAACGTTGCTCAAAAACATCGGGCGTCGCTGGGGCTGAAATGAATTTTAACGGCGACGTTATCCGAGATCCTAGCCGACTTGCGCTTCTCTGGGGAAAATATTTTGCAGATGTTTATTCCTATTCATCCTGCGAGTGTTTCGATGCCCAGTTTAAGGAAAAAATTGACGACTCTGTAAAACGTATTCTTTCTACCCATGATTTAGGTAATGTCTCTTTTGAAGATTTCTCTT